ACCCGTGCCTACATCTACCTTGGCCAAGCTACACGCATGGTCCAGATGTATCGTGTCATTCATAGCCACCACGCCGACCCCGGAACTACCGAGCGCTTCCTCGAGGACGAGTCCTTCCGTCGCGTCATCTGGCTGCTCTACATCCTCGACTGCCTCTTGACGAGCCATCCGGGTCGCCAGCCCGCTCTTTCGGGTGCCGACACCATCGACGTCTCACTGCCATGCACTGACATGAACTTCGCCTTTGGCAACGCCGTCTTCGTCCAGACTCTGAGCCTGACCGACCCCCCTCGCCTGCCTCCCGGCGCCCATGTCGACAACATTGGCGAATTTGGCCACATCGTCATGGCCACACGAATCTGGCGCGACGTCATCCAGATGCTGATGAGCACGTCGACCGAGACGTTCAGCGACGCCACGTGCAGCCAGATTATGGGCGCCATTGACGACCTGCGCCGCTCTCTGCCCATGCAATATGCCGACAAGCCCGGCCAGGTCAATCTTCACATCACCATGGGATCCGGTTTCACGTACGCCATGCTGCACTGCATGCTGCACTGCTCCTCCATCTTCATCAACCGCCGTCGCCTGCTGCAGTATGTGACGGCTCACGATTTCAACCTGGAGACGTGGCGTGTTACGCCGCAGTGCCACGAGCTCATCGACCGCCTCTTCACATCGTGCCACAGCACCATCGCCATGCTGACGGCTCTCGAGACGGGCTTTGAAAAGGAGGCCAACCTGTGCTTCCCCATTGTCATGCTCTTCTCCGCCTTCACCGCCAGCGCCACCGTCGCTTACCTCTCCCTCAAGGCCTTGACGCCCCCCAACGCCGTCGAGACGGCCGCCCACATCGTCCGTGACGGCCCTCCGGTTCATGCAAGACGGTGTCGAGACGTGGCCTCTGATCGCATCGTGGCTGCGTCACCTGACGGTCATGCACCGCGTGCTGGCCAACGACGGTTCTGCTCCGATGCCCCAGGGAGGACCCGACCACCCGATGGTCTCGATTAAGGACGAGCCGCATCGAACCCGACTCGAGCAGCCACGCCGATGCCATGGACTACGACAGTCTCTTCCCACGGTCCCG